GTATTTCTTTGAATTTTAGACGACTTAGTATATGTCATGACCATCTAAATCCTCAATTAGACCATATAAAAATTTGATATAATACATAATTTTTCACTTTTCAAAATTACTTGTTTCTACCAGATAGATACTTATAATTATCAATTTTTTTTAAATCGACTTTTTGAAAATAATTTTTTATAAAAAACAAAAAATAATAAAAAATGTAATTATGAAAGGTCATTATTGACCTTTTAAAATATATATGGTGTCATGATCGATGTAAGGGTGCATATAATTCTCACCTTCATCTGCGTAATTCTTTATCATGTTAAAGGTTAAAAAAAGGGTCCAACTAAGCTTCACATACATAAGCTAGTTGAAATAAAATGTATGAGTGTCAACAATAAAATCCAACGAACAAGGAAATTTTACAAAAACATATATTTTTCATACACATTTATAAACAATAATTTTTTTTAAAGATTTATTGAATAATTATTGTATCTAGTTTATAATAATGACTAGATACATCATTTATTTAAGTAGTAATCGAGAATACAATCCAAATAAAACAAAAAATGAGGTGCATTACAATCACCATGATATCATCATACTCACCTTCCTTTATCCTTTTCACCTTTCCAGCACGCCTTTACTAATCCATCCAAGACTTTTATAGGTTCAACTTTTAGTCAAGTTGCTCAACTTTTTTAGTACTATTATAGAGTATAGACTTCTTCTGACTCTCTATATTTCTTATGAACCAACCCTTCACATTCAAGATGCTTAAGATATCCGACACTAAAACGATACCAATATATGTATATCAAATCACTTTTATTTTTTAAAATTATTATTTGCATGAACATATAAGTACTAATTTTATTTCAAAGTAAGTACTTCATATCTCTTATAAAGAAGACCAGATGAAGTAGTTAGTAGTTAATTCGTTTAATGAAGAGATAATTAATTAATTAGTACATTAATGTTGTTGAAAATCCCATAATCATCTTAATTTAATAAAATGTATTTCGCTTATCAGCAAATTATTCCTCTCTTACTTTGATAATGTTCACATTACAAAGTGTAATAGCTTAGAACACAAGTTACTAAGTTTCCTTCTTATTAAGCATTACAAATCAAATTGCTCAAACAAATTGGTATAATAGAGTATGGTTCGACACAACTATTAATTTTTAATCAAGATGAATGACAAACTTGAATACTATTGTTGTGGTAAAACGGCAAGCAAAAATAAGTATTTTTAATTTTGTTTTATTGTCTCCACAGAGATTATTGTGAGAGAAAGAATGTCGTTTAATAGTTTCTATGTTTCCAAGCTTGGTTTTGAATGGTTTAAAATGTAAAGTGCAAAAATTAAATTAAATGAACAAGAAAATAAATACATTCTTTGGAAAAGAGAGAACTTATCGAAATTGAATTTCATCTATCCATCAAATACTTAAACCTATCGATCAGTTGTACATAACCTAAAATATTCATCAATATCATCACGTATCCTTCACATTAGTGTTCATGTCTACAACACCTACGAGAGTTCTACCGTATTGTCTCATCGGTGATGTCTCACGCAACTAAACAACACAAAACACTAAGAACCGATACCCACAGTGAATATTAGACCTAAATCTATTTCTAGAGTTTAGAACCTAATAGATGTTCATCCTAGTTCTAGATTTGAAGATTATATGTCTATAGCAACTCAAATCTACACATAAAGCAAGCAAGCAAAGATGACATCGATATAGATTTGTAAAATAGATTTTATGCAACACTATGATCAATACATATACACAAAATCAGAATAAACTTACACACAAACCCCGACAACAGAGAGTACAGAGAGAAAAAGAGAGATGAACCGACAATTCTCGCGGTGTCAAGACGATTGTTGCAAATCCAACTCTGAATCATCAATTTGCAACCTCCAATGTTGTTTTCTAAGACCAAAATCTCCAAGAATGGGTTTGATGGAGTTGGGAGTAAAAATTTCCAAAACTATAACCTAAAAAATAATGTACAAATGAATTTATAGCGTTTCAAAGTTGTAAGCCGCGCTTAGTCCGCTCAGAGGGCGCTTAGCGCGCTCCTTGTTGTGTTGAGAAAAAACCAGCTCTTGTTTCGCCATAACTTTGATTTATGCACGGTCACAAGTGTTGAAAATCTTATTCAATGATCTATATTAAAATGTCTAAATAACATGCTTGAATACCTACAAAAAATGAGTTAAAAACAATCAAACTCAATGATATTTACACGAATCGACAAAACTATACTAAAATACTAAAATGTTACTTATTCACACTAAAATTGAGGTTATTGATAGAAAAACTAATGAATCAAGCCAATAAGTACCAATTATTCACACTAAAAAATACCACAATTTTAAACTTATCAACTCTCCCCAACTTAGAACTTTGTCTGTCCTCAAATAAAAGTCACACAAACATAAAGAAACAAAAGCAATCACTAAGAATTCATGAATCAATAAGTTTTGAAAAACAAAAACAAATGTATGGTTCAAATTCAAAAATGTACAAGCAAAGTAATACTTATCACTATACTACAACGACACCATGACTATGAAATAAATTCTAAGTACAAAATACATGTCAAAAGTTCTAAAGCAATACATGTTCAAGAATGAATCACACCTAACACACAACTTCATCAAGGAATAAAAAGAAAACATGAGGGACTTAGCTCACACCCAACAATATTTCTAACATCAATCAAATCATGCATTCATCTAAAAACTCATATTGAAAGTATAAAAGCAAAAATTACAAGGACTTTAAAGGGTTGTAATGTGGTTTGACTAACAAAGATGAGTCAATTTCTCAAGGTAATTGAAACAAAAAATTTGCCTAAAAAAATGAGAATGGTCACTTCTCAAGTTCTCAAGACAATTTCCTTCACCTTTTTCTATTTTCCAAGTTGTTACACCATTTCACAAAACTTATTAGCACAATTTATTTGCTATTTTTTCTTCCTTTTTCAAGGTTTTTCTTTTTTCTTTCTTTTTCTTATCAAATTTCCTTTTCATATTTTTTTCTTTCTTTTTCAATATTTTTCTTTTTTTCTCAACCTCTTAGCAACCAACATTCTCTTCCCAACTTAAATACAACCCATCATTACAATGTGAATGCTCCCAAATTTTTTAAGGCAAGGGTAAAAATTTCAACCACAAGTTATGATTGAAGGTTCAATAAAAAAATTCAGAATCCAATCTAAAATTAACAATGAACTAATTAGTTATGTACAAGTTCCAAGAGTTAACATCCAAATGGATCGTGATAAAAGGCTCGAAAGAGGTAAGCAAATTCTCAGTCACTCACAAGGTAGGCTATTTTTTGGTCTAGTGGTTGTGCTCAAAATCAAACAAATTGCCTTGATCATTTTTATGCTTTCATGCAAATTAACAAAAATGCAAGATTAAACATAATTCAAACGAGTTAAACAAAGAATGTTGGTCGCCTATGCATTTAGTAAACAATGAAAAGCTTTCTCATATTAAGGTTTTGTTCTAAAGTGATTAAAAATGAACAAGTAGTGCAAAAGAATGAATAACATGATATTTGTACAAAGCCTAAAGTTCATATTTATGCTATGTTATAGAAAGTAATAAACGCATACCTTGACAATGCAACTTTCTTTTCAATATTTTATCATTACCATTATCGTAACCGACAAAAAATAAGAGAGTCACCACCACTACTTATTTGTCCGAAGGACGGGAAAGGAAGGGAAAAACCCTAAGTGTTTTAGAGATCGATGGGTTCGTGAGTTGATTAGATAAAGGGAAGGTGTTAGGCACCCTTTATCTTCCCTGTACTCAAGAGGATCCTTTTTAGCTTTAGGACTTAATGAGAATATTTCTATATTTAATCATATTATCATGCACAATAAAAACAAGGGAAAATTAAGTTTTTTAGTTAGTGGACTCATATTGGTTTTTGAACCGTGTGTTTACGTATCCTCTTGCGAAGAAATTAGAATTCTTCGTAGTTCAAAGTATGTTTGGTTGATATTTTTTATAAGATTGTGTTAAGTTGCTTTCGAATGATTTTGAACTTGTCTGAGTTTAAAAATTGAGTGATGATAGGCAAAGTTTTGTATTCGATTTGAAAGTAACTTGACAATCCTTTATTGAAAATATCTTGAATTTGATTATGTTAGTGAAAAAATGTTTTTGTTGGTTAACTGTTTTAAGTTTGATTGATCGATAAAGAGTTGCTATTTATTAGAATTAAATCGTGTGGTACAAAGAAATTGATTTGATTGGTTGGTGAATTTTAGATATTTTGAATAAAATAATCAATTGATACGATGTTAAGTCAACTTATTGATTACTCGAAGATGTATATCTTATTATTTGTAAAAATATTTAAATTATTTTAGTTAAAAAATATTTAATTTATGTGTAAGTTAATGATTAGTGATGATGAGATTTATTTACAAATGATACGAAGTTTTGATTTGAATCGGAAAAGGGGTCGTAGTGCATATGCACAAGAAAGTCTTTTTTTTTTATTTTTGTTATATTTAGTTTTTTATGTATTTTTTTGAAATAATAATCTAAGAGAGGGAACTAACCTAAAATAGATGCGCTAATCTAATATAGATGCTAGAATAAACTAAATTCTAAGATAAAAGGGTGTATATTTATGATGAAATGATGCTAAAAGAAGTGCCGCAAATTGGCTCAGGTCAGAATATATACAAAATCCAACAACAAAACTTGTATCTAATAATAATATAATAAATAGGTAAAGAAAATATAATAAATAAAATAATAATAATATTAAAATAAATGAAATAGATAATAATTAAAAATAAAATCAAAGGATTAAAACACAATAACGACACATGTTTTTGTTTTAATTTATTAAAACCAATAAAAATTATTTTCAAACACAAAAACCATTTGCAGAGAGAGAAACCAGAAATATAATGAACCAGAAAAGTGTAAACGCAATGAAAAAAACTACTTAGTAATGAACCGCGACGCGGTGGATTTGAAGTCTGACGAAATAGCGATGACGACCCGGTTTCCAGTGGTGCTTTTGCGGTGGCAGTGGACCTATGTAAGGGATGCATTGAGATATGTTGAGATCCGATGGTGGCTGTTGATTCAGAGGTTGCTCTGTTTGCGTCGCAGAAGGAGTACGATGGTTGGGAAATGCGGTGCTTCGACGACGTCCGGGTGCGCGTTCGTAGTTGTTTGAGTTGTTGGTAAGACGACGCGATTGTTGCATGGAGATTGTAGAGGTTGACGGTCTGAGCATGGTGGAGGAAGCAAGGGAAGTGGCTAAGCGTGATTGGCTCGTCGGCGTTCCGTCAGAAGTTGAGCAGAGCTGGATGTGGGTCGTATTCGTAGTTCCAGCGACCACGCGTTTTCTACAGGGAAATTTTTACAGTGGTAATGGTTTTGAAAAGCTTGCAATTTCACATATTCTTCATCTCTTTTTCTCTTTCTGCAAAAATAAACTTAGATGTGTTGATGTTTTATTGTGAATTTGTAGTGTAGATTTAGTCACAGTGACATAACTTTCTCTATTCTCTTTTCCTGCAAAACTGATGTAACTGGTTTGAAATTGAGAGTCGCACCCCTTAATTTTTATACAAAAGAAGGAGATATAAAGGATAACCCTAAATAAGTTAGAGATTCTAGGTTTTTTGACTCGGTTTTAGACGAAGGGAAGGTGTTAGGTACCCCTCATCTACCTTGTTCACAAAGATACTAGGGTTAGAAGCGCAATCTTTAAGAAATAGGGTTTTATTATTTTATTAGGGGAACTCGCCACAATTTTAGTCGTATACCTACATATCCTCTTAGGAGGAATTAGAGTCCCAATTCATAGTTTGTAGTTGGTTTGTGTTTTTTATGGATTACGAAGATATTTGAATTTTCCGCATACTTAGTCTAGGTGTGTGAATAACGGAGTTTGTTAGGCTAAGTGTTAAAATATTATCGTAATCCTTTTTTTTTGAAAATTAATTGTTGAATTAATTTAATTATGAAAAGGGTTTATTGTTGGTTAGATATTTTTTAGTGTATTAATTATGAAAAATGTAATTAATGCATGCTAAAAAAAGATTTAATGCAATAAAATAAGTAGAATATTTGATGAGTATTAGAAAAAAAATTAAATTTTATTTAATAATAATAAATATAATATTATAATTATAAAAATAGAAAATAGAAAATATAAAAATTATAAAATAAAAATAATAAAGAAAATTAAATAAAATGCAGGGAGTGTGAATTAGGTTAGGCTAGTAAAAAAATAGGGGTGCAGATATTAGGGCCCTGAATTCAGATATTGAATTCAAGCCCAATAAGACAGGGGGTTTGAATTTGCACGTGTTAGTAAATATGTGGGGGGGGGGGGGGGGGGGGGGGTTGAGCAGTAGGGGCCCAAGTCTAGATTTTGGACTTGGCCCATTAAGCTAGGGGTGAAGTTTTGTGCGTAGTTAGTAAAATAAAATGAAAGGAGGTTCATGAGCAATGGGCCAGGCCCATAATGGTTTGGGGAGTCCGCTTGGACTCCATGCGGGCGGGTATCGAAATATCATGGGCGTGTGCGTTTATGAGCATTTGATGGAGATTGTGTGATTGAGATTGAGAGTGTATGGTAATGACATGGGATGGCATGCATCAGATTTCTTGACACAATATATTTTATTTTTTGTAAAACAACACTTCATTTTGTTATTCTCTTCAACCCTAACCCTGATTGACACCCCAAAACGAACCCCTTAACAATAATTACTCAGCAACATAAAGTCTTACAAAAGCTAAGTCTTACCGTGAATCGCCGTGAACCTTCTTGTATTCTCCTTGGTCCGTCCGATTTGCCTTATTCTGATCTATCTTTCTTGTTTCGTTTCAGGTGCAAGGTAAAGGTGGAGGCACAGTGGAGATTGAGGTAACAGAGGATGAGGATGATGATTAAGATAACAACGGCGGAATCCATAGTTTTAGGGTTTCGGATTTTGAAACCCAAATCTCAAGCGAGGACACGGACTTACGGATGTCAAGGCTTCAGATCTCCTCCTCTATCGTATGCTCTGTCTCCAATTTTCTCCCCCCTGTCTTAGAAATTTTTAGGTTTTTATAGCTCTTTGATTTAGGTGATTTAGGAAATAGTTTTATGAGATTCGTTACTTTTAGGCTGATTAGGGAAATTTAGATGTTGATACGATTTAGATTTGTATAAGTTTGATTCTGTTTGATCTTGCTTGTAAATTAGTCTGATTTTGTATTGATTTTGATTAAGTCTCGTTAAGTTTTGATTTTGTACAGATTTGATTTGATTTTATTGTACATTTTGATGGTTGGATAAATAAAGATTTGTTTATGTATTGGTTTGATCTGAACATTAATGTTCATGCGTTTTTTCCTTCAATTTGCACAGTGCCTGTTTTGGCTTTGAGACAAACGTTTTTTTTCTTCTTTTGATTTGGATCACAAGTTTTTGGATTGGGCTTGGGCTGAAAGGGACTGTGTGATTAAGTCCAATTCTGGCCTTTCTTAATCAAGCGTTTTTATTTTCATTAATAAAACAAAACAATATTTTTTAATCAAGTGTTAAAACATAATGATTAATAATATAAATAATAATTAACACAATTTTGAATAACCAAAAGTCAGAAATTCACTTCTAATCATACAAAAATTTGGGCCTAAAATTCTTTTTATGGGCCACTGATCAAAAAGCGCGAATGGGTCTGATGAAGTAAAAACGACACCTCTCTAATTATATGTATAAAAAAGAGTCAAAAACTTTTAATGGGCCATCAAATTTTGATGGCCCAAAACAACACACCCCTATATTATCAAATACACCTCATCTTTTATACTTAAACTCCTATAAGCAAATATTCAAAAATAGCCAAATTCAAATAATATATTTTACAGTAATAATATGGCTATTAAAATGGTAGAGAAATTTTGGGGTATGACAATTGCCCCTATTTAATTACTCTTCAATTGAATAGTGCGAGAATACGCAGGTCTCGCACATTCGAATCGGAGGATTATTGAATAATGGAAGACCCCAAAATTTGACCCAAGGTTGGCTAGATAAGGATATACTGTAAAGCGTACCCCAGAGATTTTAAAAGATGATGATGTATCATCTTACCAGAGTTACAATAAAGAGTATGATTGATTTTGATACAACGACACGAATAACTCGTCAATATCTAAAAGAGATCTTAGATTGTTTTGTGCATTTTTAAAAAAATACAAGTTTTGAAAAAGTTGACTTACTAATGCTTGGAGACTAATATAGTAAATTTAACTTGATTTGATTTTGTCTATTCATCACAACCTAGAGAATGAATAAAATAAAGTCTGATAACACATTGTTCCATGGAGACTGATGCAATGGATTATGCATATTTATTCGCACATCTACCACAACCTAGGGGATAAATATTTGAAAAACAATTCTCTCACCTACTGCAACCTAGGGGGTAAATGATTCTTGACAACAACATTACTGCATGGAGACTGGCGCAATGAGTTATATCACAAAAAAAGTTGTCTTTGGTGATGGAATCTTTAGATAACTAGATCAAAGATAGGATCATATTTTTTTATTGGTTGTGTCTATTCTAAACTAAGGTAATTGTTTAGCATAAAAAATGCTAGGTTTGAAGATTGAAACCGAAGTCTCGCTGATGATGCTGGTTGTGTCTGTTCTCAACCAATGCTATCAACTTGAAGAAATAAAACCCCAAATTCACTGACAATGTCGGTTGTGTTTATCCTCAACCAAGACTACCAACAGGAAGAAATAAACCCCAAATTTACTGATAACATCGGTCGTGTCAGTCGTCAACCAAGACTATCAACAGAAAGAAAAAAATCTCAAATTCACTGATGATGTCGACTGTGTCTTTCCTCAACCAAGACTATCAACAGGAAGAAATAAACCCCAAATTCACTGATGATGTCGGTTGTGTCTGTCCTCAACCAAGAGAATCAACAGGAATAAATAAACCCTAAATTCACTGATGATATCGGTTGTGTCTGTCCTCAACCAAGACTATCAACATGAAGAAATAGACCCCAAATTCACTGATGATGTCGGTTATATTTGTCCTCAACCAAGACTATCAACAGGAAGAAATGAACCCCAAATTAACTGATGATGTCAGTTGTGTCTGTCCTTAACCAAGACTATCAACATGAAGAAATAAACCCCAAATTCACTGATGATGTCGGTTGTGCATATCCTCAACCAAGACTATCAACAGAAAGAAATAAACCCCAAATTCATTGATGATGTTGGTTGTGTATGTCCTCAACCAAGACTATCAACAGGAAGAAATATACCCCAAAATCACTGATGGTATCGATTGTGTCATTCCTCAACTAAGACTATCAATAGGAAGAAATAAACCCCAAATTCACTGATGATGTCAGTTGTGTCTGTCCTCAACCAAGACTATCAACAGAAAGAAATAAACTCCAAATTCACTGATGATGTCGGTTGTGTTTGTCCTCAACCAAGACTATCAACAAGAAGAAATAAATCCCAAATTCATTGATGATGTTGGTTGTGTCTGTCCTCAACCAAGACTATCAATAGGAAGAAATAAACCCTAAATTCATTGATGACGTCGGTTGTATCTGTCCTCAACCAAGACTATCAACAAGAAGAAATAAACCCCAAATTCACTGATGGTGTCGGTTGTGTCTGTCCTCAACCAAGGCTATCAACAGGAAGGAATAAAACCTAAATCCACTGATGATACCGGTTGTGTCGGTTCTCAACCAAGGTATCTCTTAAAGTTTGAACTATTCAGTCCATATAGATAAGCTCTCTAATGATGGACCCCAAGAAAATTCGAAATTTGAAAGATGACATGCATGATGTATATGCATAATGCCCTAAATTAATGTGCTATGCAAGTGTGATATGCATTGGGTGTCTGTGTATGTCCCAAATATTTACATATGTACAAAATGTGCGTATATTCCCCAAATGCTATGAAAAATGTTTTTTTATATTCTCTCCTCTTAAACCATTGGTTTTGTGTTACTAACTCCCCGACGATGTATGTTGCATCGTCGTGGTATCTTTGCATTAATTTGAAAATGGTGAAAAGTGTCGGCAAGATCTTGATATTTGTATCGTAGGCGCAACCGTAGGTGTAGACATGGGCGTTGGCGCAGGTGTGTACGTAGACATATACGTGGATGTAGGAGTGG